GCGGTGACTGCGTTGAGAAGTAGCCTAAATATGTATGTATTTATTGTATATAATAAATTTCTTCTCGTTGCTTGTTTTGTTAACAGCTCACCGGAAGTCACTTCCCGAATAACCTTCTTACATATACCCGTATGTACATGTTATTATATGAAATTTCATTTTCCTGCAATGTTCATTAATTTTCTAAATTCAGCATTCAGTTCATAGATGAATTCATAGATTCATGTAGTGAAATTTTTCAAACAGCATTTACCGGTTGAAATTTGTAGCTCAAATGTGAAACAATAACTGAATTTTTGTATATTATTTAGAATAATAAAGTTTAAATCAAGAACTGTCACGAAATGTTATGTAAAATGGAACCAGGTACTTCTAATTTAGATAGTACGTGAAATGCTGGTATCGGAAGCCTTGGTCGGGGCTTGAATTCGAATCCGGACTTCATGTTAATTACATTTTCGATATCACTTTTCCCACTCGTGACTCCTCCCACAAAATCACGCAATACAGATACTGGTAAATGCATAGGAACTTATTTCTACCTTTAATTGTATCCGCGAATGAGCCATGATGAAACCGTAATCTCTGGAGTTCGCGCGGATATTTCTCATTAAAACTGCGCTACGTCGGAATTACAGGCTTAGTCCAGACTGCTGGAATGTGGATCGGTTGCCTATGAAGCTTACGGTTATGGAAATTATTAGATTTTGCCTGCCTGTACACTATATGCACTGGCCCGAATTACTACTGTACACTTTCAGGTGATTAAGTACCAGCTCTTCATATGGAGGGATCTGGTTCAGTTTCACCTCGCTTCATATGAGATTAGTAAGGATTAACTGGAACTAAAGTAAGGTCTTCTCTAAGTTTATTCAGTTTTCCCTTTTTTTCCCCTAGGCACTACAGCCCCAGTGGGCCTAGGCCTACCTCCATGAACTTCTCCGTTTACTTCGGTTTTTCTAGATCTTACACATTCGGTAGGAATCCTTGGGCGGGTGATCAGCTCGTCGCAAGGCCTCTACCTGTACACAAACAGAAAAACGCACACAATCAACCATGTCCTGAATGGGATTCGAACCCACGATCCCGGCTTCCGAGCGAGCAAAGACAATACATGCGTTAGACCGCTCGGATACCGTGACCGACAAGTTTTCCCTTATTAATCATAATTCAACCTTTTTTTGCACTCATCTGTTACCGTTCTCTGAGATGTGCGATAACCTCAGTCATGCAGCACAGTATCATATCCTCAATTTTCATGTAGAGAACTTGATCTCTGTCCCAGAATTAGACAGGTTACATACTACAAACCTCAATACCAAATTTTGGAACATGAATCGATTGTGTACGTGAAGGTCATGGCCCTAAGAGTAATTAAAATTTACCTCGTAGAATTTATGTACCCACTGGAATTAATTTCTTTGAATTTTTTTGGCAAAAATATTCTACATCAGTGATTCTCGACCAGTGGCCCACGGTTTAATTTATAACTTTCCACGTACAGGTAATTGTCCCTATTTTCCATTGGCGCTACAGGCCTCATTTGGGCCTAGGCCTACCTCCATGAAACTCTCCGTTTCACTTCGGTTCACAAGATCTTACACATACGGTAAGACTCCTTGGGCGGGTGATCAGCTAGTTGCAAGGCCTCTACCTGTAGACAAACACAGAAAAACGCACACAAACATCCATGCCCTGAGTGGGATTCGAATATAAGAATTCAGTTCGTACCAAACAGAAAACAGATCCGAACCCACGATCCCGGCTTCCAAGCGAGCGAAGACAGTGCATGCCTTAGACCGCTCGGCTACCATGACCGGCTAAATTGTCCCTTAGACCTAAATATATAGACTGCTACCTAAAATGGAAAAATTACAATTTTTATTCTAGGCCTCTCTTAGATGTTTTATTATTGTATTCTTATTTAAGTGTCAGAGACTAAACAGTCAGCATTAAATCATTTTATTTTTCCTTTCCTTACGCATTGGACTTGACGTAATTGCGATAGATGTAAGGAGTTGTTTGACTGGATATAGATACAGGATATAGAGAACATGTAAACATTTCGATAAAAATGATGAATTTTTGAAGTAAATAGCGTTTTAATGTAAATAAAATCTAGAATATGCTTTTGAAACCTGTTAATATAGTTCATTTATAATTATAATAGGCATAAAGAACATTTATATTTCTTTTACTTAACTTCCAGCCGAGGAATATCTGCTGCTAATTAGAGATCTGTGTTATATCTTCCCCTTCGTGCTGTAGCATAAAAAGGAATTTTTGCCTGCGTAAACCATCCCCTCATTTCCTGCTCTTTACACTTAATTCCCTAGTAACCCCTCCAGCTGTACACACACAACACCACAGTCGTTTCATCGGAACAGGCTAGTTACATGTTGCCATTTGTACTGAGGCTACCGGTTCACCTGGCAACATTCGCTGGCCTATCCAGAGATGAGGATATTTAACATCCTGTGCCAGTATTCTCCTAACCAATAGAAATAATAATTAAGACTAGAATTAAATTGTAAATATATGTGAATACTGATAATGGACTACTAAGACTGACAAATGACAGACCCGACCTCTCGTCAGAGAGGGCGCCCTGAATGGACAGGACAGCAACATTCACAAAGAAGAAAACATCTGGTCATGAGCCCCAGCTGGGGCTCGACACCAAGACAGACAGACTGACTGACCGTCAGTTGCAACATGAGTTTGACTTTGACTTTGACTTTGACTTTTCCTAACCTTAGACAGACGTGCGTCTCTGTATCTCGGGATCCTCCAAATAAATATTGTTTAAGAATTAAATTCCTACTTCATGAAATCGCTTAATGCTACTTAAGTAAAAATCGCTGCTTGCGCTGAGAATTGTAGGAAGCACACACATACACTCTGTAGGCAAAATGCATAATGTTAGAGCAGGTGGAATGTGGGAGCATACGAGCCGCTTTCAGTAAGGCGATAAACAAATAAACAAGAAGAAACTCTGCAGACAAGCTGGGAGAAACTGAACGATATATATGTACATGCAGCAGCTAAGCAAGATTAATTTGAAAGTTTAGGATTCCCGTATATAAGTGCGAAGGGAATTTCAGGACTTGGCGTAATACGGATCTCATATTGAAACAGACATCTATTTCGTCTGCTTATTCACAGCTTTAGAAAATCATAATAAGGGAGATTATCTTTTTAATCCGACAGAGAATATTGTAGGAGGGGGCTGCATCATTAGGGAGCACAGATCACAGGATTATCCTTTTTTGTATCTGTATTTCGTAACTGCGAAATTCGTCAATGTCATTGCGCAATTTCGGATTACCTTAGCAACGAAATGTCGAGGGCTAAGTCATGAAAAAGCATACGTGTACTGTGTTCTGTGTCTATTCTATGAAAATTTTAATATTCTGGTGTGAATACGTGAACTATGGCATTCTATTTTAAAGGAGACATTTTATAGTTTAATGTTTTTACTTGTTATTCGTGGCAGAAGGCGTTAAAACGGTCCTAACGAGTCTCTCCATAACACGTAGGGCTGGTAAAGAATAAGAGAGACAGCAGGGGGAAAGCTAACAGTAAGAAAGCTTCTGTAACAAGTGATGAAACTTCTGTCCAGCTCTCAACTGGTATTGCTCCGTCGTCTTACACATGAAATTCTTCCATAGTTTCAATAATTTTCGTGTCTGTGACCGTGGCGTGGTTGCTAGGCCACTCCTGGCTGGCTTTGCACAGGACAAAGCATTACCACCTCTCAGTAGTCTATTGGTAACCGTTTAACGTCGTAACCAACTGTAAAAATAGGCGCGATGCATGACTTTACGCAATCTTAATTTTAAGAAAATATTCCGTTTTATTTTAAACGGGAATATAGATGTGTTAAATATTATCATAATAAACAAGATACTGTTCAGACAAAGAATGAAAACGGATGGCAGAAGTTTCGTCCCCCGTCACCCCCAATGCTACCGTTACTCCACACCTCCCTTCTGCAAACACCAAAACCAAAATGAGAGCCAGAGAGACAGGAAATACGTAAAAACTGACTGAAGGGGACGGATGCCTGGAAATAAGTTTCATTCTTTGACCGATTCAAGTTAAAAAAAAAAGTAAACTTGTCGCTGTGCTTAACCAATTAAACACTACGCCGTGAAGGCTTATGAGGTAGTAGATGTGTAGATCCACATTTTCTTCACCTCAGCACTGGTTGGAGGTAGGTGGTCAGCTTCACGCTCTTGCCGCTTTACCCCCGGCAAAAGAGCCCCCGGTACCCAATGAATAGGAGTTGGTGGACCCCAGAGCCGGTCTGGACCACTCGGAGAAGGGAAAATGCTTGACCCTACCGTGGCTCGAACTCCAACCCCTCCAAGTCGTCCAGCCTGTAGCCACTCGCTATACCGACTGAGCTATCCCGGCTCCTCCGATCCAAGTACAGATATTTAATTAACTCAATTCATGTTATTGTAACAAAAATACAATTGAAAGTCAGGAAGTTTCGGTAATATGGCCTCGCCCCCAGATGCACCTTCACACGTGCTTCGACACGTCATACATACATATCAGAGAAGATGAAAGTACAGTCCACTGCAACACAAATTAAATTTTTGGTATTTATGTGGTTTTCGGATACTAACTTATTTATTTCACGTGCAAATTAAGAAATTTTACATTCATACAGTGTATGTCTCTTAATATTATCGCGGACGTTGATTCTCCTCTGTTAGTGCTCCAAGCACGCAATCTGTAACATATTTTGAGTTCGATATACGTTATCCTTTTAACTGATATTGAGTGATTAACAAGATTATGGCCGGTCACGGTAGCCGAACTGTCTTCATGGTAACTCGTTCCACCTCCCATTGCCCAGCAACGGTTAGACATGTCACAATACACATCGCAAACAACGAGCGATTAGTGTAGGAATGAAACAGCCAGTGTCAAAATTATATAGCTTTTCTCCCCTAGAATTCATTTTAATTACAGTTCTTTATACACAGATGGCAGCTCTGGCTCGTCGACATCGAAGTACGGAGACAGGTTCGGCTGTCTTGCATGAGGAGTATAGTGAAGCCGCCATACAGAAACACAATGCTTGGGAAGGTAAGCTGACCATTTTCCATTTATCTCTTCTCTTCCCTTACTGCCCTGAATGTCGAGTTCAAAGCCAGTATCGAGTGGAATAATGAATATCGCTTCAGAATCTCATCCATGAGCACTGTATAATTTATACCGGTAGAAGAATTTATATATAATCCTTTTATAATTACGTGTAGGGTAGGAGAGCTGAAATTCAGAACACCCTGTATAATGAATAGAACTTTTAAGCTATTTCACGTTCTTCTGTAAGTAAAAGCACCGATTTATTTAACTGAGGAATTATAATTAATGCATAGCCTAGATCTGAAATGAATATGGTAATTAAAATTTCAGTTTCATAACTTGGTGAATTAAAACACTTGAAACTTTTAGAAAGGCTTTGCGTTGGAAGTCACGGATGAAGGAGAATATTGTTTCAAGTTTATTAATTTACTGACCAGCGCTAATACCTACTAATGATACAATAAAACTGTAAGAATATTAAAAAAGGGTTATGTATGCCTAGATATCTCAAAGACAAACATTATTTACTCAAAACTAGTTGATAGCTTAAGAAACAAATAAAGAAAGACTACAGAAAATTATTGAAAAAAGAAACAAAATGAAAGGGTAGAAATAAGTAAAGAAGTTAAGTAAAAAAAATGAAAGGTAGAAAAAAATATTTTTATGGTAGGTCTACATGTGTATATTATTTTGAAATAGTTCGTATACTCCTCTTTGCAAGAAAATTACTGCGTTTATGACACTTTGAAAGCCCATCTCAAAATCCCGGTACATCATTCCTATCTGAGCGTAAACTTATCAACCCCAAGTATTTCTCTACCCTTCACATCGTGAATAACTCCTTGTGACTGCCGAGCAGCGGTTTGTTAAATCTGTTTTTCAGTCAGGAGGTCGCCGTTTCGCATTTCTGTTGCTGCGAAGTTCAATTTTTTACTGACACATCACGACCGGTTGCTTATCAATCCCTTCACGTTCACTGTGAATAATCTGTCGTATCATTTCAAGGTAAATATATTCTCTGAACGCGATGGAGAGCCGTCAGGCAACCGATGTGAGATATCATAGTAAAACCAATTAAAATTAACTAGATACTGTGTTACATTAACTTATGGCATTCTTTACAACGAGGCAGTGTAAAGTTAGGAAAAGTAAAGCTGTCGCTATGCCTAATTAGTTAAGCACTATGCCGTGAAGACATATGGGGAAGTGGAGGTATAGCTCCACCTTTTTTGACGTCAACACTAGACGGAGTTAAGTTGCACAAAGGATAGGATTTCCTAGTACATGTGTTCTACCCGTAGAGCGCTTTCAGAAAACGTACGCAGCGTACGAAGCGTGGCAGTTCCCACTGACTGCAGCTCACCCTGCTTGCGAGAAGCACCCCTCTCTACCGTACAGGAAGTCCCAGGGATCTGGTCCAGACTTGAGGAACCCAGACGGTTGCACGAGATATGTTCCCACCCTCTCTCCTGCCGTTTCGCTCCCTGTGAGTGTAGTTGTCACGTGCTTCTTAGAACCACCACAACCGGAGCGCTGCTGTTCCCCTTCTGTGTGTTGCTGTAACGTTCCGCTAACATGCACAGTTTTCTTACGTTTATTTCTTTTATATTTTACCTCCCTCTCCTTCTTTATTCTGTTTTCTCTTGCTTCTTTCTCTCTCCAGTCTTCCTTCAATTGTCCCATCCTTTTCCTCTCTCTTCATTGAATTCTTTCTGCATTTATTCTCACCTACATTTTATGTTCTACCAATCATTCCTCGCCTCTTTCTCCTCTCATTCTTTGTTCTTTGGAATGTTCATTCTTCTTTTCTTTTTCTGTTTTGTACCCTTCGTCGTTTCAGCTTTCCCTTTTCTCTCTTCCTTTCCTCTGCCTTCTTATCTGTTGTTTCCTTCTTCTCATTTATTCCTACTTCTATTTTCTGAAAACTGTCTCATTCTTTATTTACCTTCATTCTCTTTCTATTTACGCCTTTATCTGTTATTATGATTGTGAATGAAGTTTTATTATTTACTAATTTATATATTTATTCGAACCTTATGTTTCTACGCTATCAGTAGCTCAGGTTACATAGCGTCGAGTCATAGAATGACTAGTAAATAATGGAATTAAGAAGCATGTGTTAGGAAACGTTCATGACCTCATATGAGGTAATATCCTAGCGTTCTACTGAAGGACTGATGGAGGTCGAAGTCCCGGTCCGTTCAGTCGGTATCCCTTCCGATGTCCGAAACGCCCACCATCCGAATACAAGCCAGACTTAAATTTATCGCTAATTTCTATGAGTAACAGATAACCAGTGACAGCTAAAGCCGTCTGTGTTCGTCATGTCTACTTCTTATCCATACAAATGAATTTATTGCAGTCTGAGGTCATGTTATGTATGGTACATAATGTAGCAGATGTTTTGCTGTTACTGCCACATGACAGTGCCGTTACTTTAACAGCCAGTAACGCTACTGGCTGAAATGATGAAGTAACTGGTTCAAACAGAGGTTACTATAAGGATTCTCTGACTTAAGTATAATATTAAACGAGGTTTATATCCCTCTGAGCACCATTTGTTTAAGTCACGGGAAAAGCTTAAATTTTTACACAAACCGAACCTATAATATTATTATCAAATATCCGTGAACGTATTTAAAGTTCAGAGTTCAACATATCCTAGTTCCTTTCTGGCATGAAAATTAGTTTGTCGTATTAAGGGAAGACTACAGACTGAGGGTGTTTCAGTACAGGGTGCGGAGGAGGGATGAAGCGACATTAGGCTGTAGAAAATTCCGTAATGAGGAACTTTGTAATTCGTACTCCTCGCAAACAGTATTACGAGATCAAGGAGGATGAGATGGGCAGGGCATGTAGTACACACGCGAGAGACCTGTATGCAAAGTTCTTGTGAGAAAACCTAAAGCACAGAAACCACCAAGAAGACGTGCGCCTAAACACGAAGATAGAACAAAAATTGATACTAAAGATTTGCGTTTGGATGTTCTGAACTAGATTCATCTGGCTTAGGATAATGACCATTGATGTTCTCTTGTGAACACAGTAATGAACTTCGGTGCCCGTAAAAATTCTTAAGCAGCTAAGTAACTATTAATCCTGAAGGACTCAGCTCCATGAAACTATTTTAGCATGTCCTTTATTCTGTTCTTAGAAGGATTCCACATAATTTCCTGTTATTCATTATTGCACGAGCGTAATAGAAACTGAAGCCTGTAAGTGCAGGCTAACCTTCGCCATGTTTTGACAAGCTCTCCCATCGCTGTTTCCTCTTGCCCGTTGTTTTCAGGTATATTTACCAGTTCGTGAAACATAAGACATATATTGCGAAACAAAGTTTTATTGAACTTGAACAGCAAACGCACAACTATCCCCGTATACAGTCACGTGATTTACGTTTCATGCGAAAGAAAAGGTATGGCAACAGAAATATTGGCAACTCAGATTTTATAACCAATGGAAAGTTGGAATGGTGGAAAGAGAAGGAGAATGAGTAGGATTTTACAAACAGAAATATTCACTATCTCTCGAAATGCTTAGAACTTGTGTCTTCATGAACAACAGGATTGGTTGCTACAGTAAGGGAGCATACAAATTTTAGAAATGCATGAGTTTCGAATTTATATTCTCCCGTGTTCGTCATATCGGTTTATTACACACATCAATCGGTTTATTTCTTTAGTTCTCTTCTTTTATTCATCTGCACTTCTTTCGAGGAGTCTGATTATAACTGACTTTTACAAGACTGGGTTAACAGCTGACTGCCACATCACTGTTCTCGAGAGCCATGCTGATACCGGTACTTATATATGGGTCCAAACTTTGGGGCAAACAAACAAAAGAGTGGCAGAAAATTCAGACTAAAACTGCAGAATCCAAATTCTTTATGCCTGTAGCAGGCTATACAAGGAAGGACCAAACTCCGTGGCCTGTAGTCCACAAGCGAACTATACAGACCGAGCGACCACCGACTGTCGGCGAAGTTAGTGCCAACTTTTGCAGATATAGGGTGTCACGTGGTCAGCGCAACGGATCCCCACGGCCGTTGTTTTTTGAAATAGCTCCTCAGTTGTCCTCACGAGGCTGAGTGGACCCCGTTCCAGACCTACTACTTCTTAGAACATGTAGTAGCGCCGGGAATCGAACCCATGATCCATAGATCTGTAGCCCTGAACTCTGAGCACTAGACTACAGAGGCGGACCAAAAGGATCAACTAAATATTAAACTTAGGGAATTACTGATATTTTTCTACTTGAATAATAAAACCGTGCAAACATGACGTCATACGAATGGGGGACAGACTGAGAGAGAAATCTTCCAAACTCGCCCCGTTTGATGTCGATGTAAACTCATCCTCTCGGTCTGAAAATTTTACAAGTAGATGGAAATAAAGTTGGAATAGGAGACGAATAAGGTGAGAGAAAAATTGGGGAGATATTTGGTTTGAAGAAGGAAGAGGAAACTGAAAACGAAGTACACAAAAGGAATAAGAACAAATAAGGGAGAGAAAAAAAATAAATAGGCAAATCAAAAGGGACAAAATATAATCTCATTTCTCAAATAAACGATGAATCGGTAAGCATATTTACACGTGTTCCACGTGAAGATATTTGTTTAAAAGATTTACAATTTCTATCTACACTTCCTTCAGAACTGGGTGTCTTGATTTTCTAAGAACTGTAGGTACACAAAGTACAATGATATTACGAACGGGCAATTTCACCGCTTGTCTTACATTTCGGTGTTTTGTTAAAAATTCATAAGAGTGGGATTTTTGTCTCCCTTGACACGCTAACCAGGAGCTGGAGACAAAAGTAAGTATATGGAAGGGAAGGTTGAGGGAACAGAAGGGTAGGGTTTCATGTTCTGCTTATAAAAGATGTAGTGGGTGGACCAAAGAGCAGACAATTTGAGGGAACAAAAGAGGAAGGGGAAAAAGTATAAGTTTTATATGAGGATGGAGGGGGGAGGAGTGTAGACACAAATTGATGTT